ACAGACAGAAAGATGCGGGCCATGAAAGCCTTTGACAAGACATCCTCGCTCAAAGGCAGAGAAGGCCTCAAAGGGAAACAAGGCCTGGAGGAAAGGAGGAGGAGCGAGGCGTTGCCATGGGCACTGGGAGTTGCCATGGAAACTGAAAGGGAGGAGGGCCAAGGAGGGGGGCCTCTCTTACCTCTCCGGAGCAGGCCATGGCCCCCTTCCAAACCGCTTCCCCCGTTGACAGCAGCCGTCGGCGAGGCTCAATCTCTCTCCTCACAGGGCTTCCTCCCAGCCGGTCCAGGCTAGCACCACTTCCGGCGCTTTCGTGACCTCACTTCCGCTCCCTCCGCTTGCAGGAGGTCTGGCCGCCATTTTGGGAGAGGCAAAGGAGCGGCGCCATTTTGGCCGAGGCGAGCAGAGACGCCATCTTGGGAAGGGCTCTTCGTCCTCCCAAGCCCGCTCCCTCAACCCGTAGCAGGCCGGGCCGCCATTTTGAGAGAGGCAAAGCAGAGGCGCCATTTTGGCAGGGGCGTAGGGCGGCGCCATCTTGGGAGAGACTCTTCCTCAAAACAACCACCTCACTCATTGTTTCATATGTTCTCTTTGATTTTCTATTATTCATTATTATTATTATAATATTATACTATATTATAATACTTAAAATATTATAAAATAATACTATATATATTATTATAATATCATAATAATATTTAATATTTTTATAATATTAAATATTATAATCCTATACTATATTATAATATTTAAAATTATAAAAATAATTATTTTATTTTTATTTTATTGTATATTTTATACAATTCAATTCTATGTTTATATCTATCTATATAATTTAATATTATATTATTGTATATTGTTCTCTTTTATAATCTTTTGTTTTCTATTATTTATTATGATATTATTATACTATATTATAATATTTTAAATATTATATTATGATATTATATTATTATAATTATTTTATTTTATTATATATATTTATACAATTCTATTTTATGGTTATATCTATATAATTTAATTATATATTATTGTATATTGTTCTCTTTTATAACCTTTTGTTTTCTATTATTTATTATGATATTATTATACTATATTATAATATTTTAAATATTATATTATGATATTATATTATTATAATTATTTTATTTTATTATATGTTTTATACAATTCTATTTTATGGTTATATCTATATAATTTAATTATATATTATTGTACTCTTTTATAACCTTTTGTTTTCTATTATTTATTATGATATTATTATACAATATTATTATATTATATTATTATTATTATTATTATTATTTTATTGTATATTTTATACAATTCAATTTTATGTTTATATCTATCTATATAATTTAATATTATATTATATTATTGTATATTGTTCTCTTTTATAATCGTTTGTTTTCTATTATGTATGATAATATCATACTATATTATAATATTTTAAATATTATATTATGATATTATATTATTATAATTATTTTATTTTATTATATATTTTATACAATTCTATTTTATGATTATATCTATTTATTTATCTATATAATTTAAATATTATATTATATTATTATAATTATTTTTGTTTTATTGTATATTTTATACAATTCTATTTTATGTTTATATCTATATAATTTAATATTATATTATTGTATATTGTTCTCTTTTATAACCTTTTGTTTTCTATTATTTATGATAATAATATTATACTACATTATAATATTTTAAATATTATATTATGATATTATATTAGAATTATTTTATTTTTATTTTATTATAAATTTTATACAAATCTATTTTATGTTTATATCTTTATTATTTAATATATTATTGTATATTGTTCTCTTTTATAATATTTTCTATTATTTATTATATTATTATACAAGATTATAATATTTTAAATATTATATTTTGATATATTATTATAATTATTTTATTTTATTGTACATTTTATAATCTTTTGTTTTCTATTATTTCTTATGATAATATACTATATTATAATATTTTAATATTATATTATAATATATTATTATAATTATTTTATTTTTATTTTATTGTATATTTTATGTTGTTGTTCATTCGTTCAGTCGTCTCCGACTCTTCGTGACCTCATGGACCA